ACTCACCCTTTTCGGCTAACTCTTTGGCGACAACCAGTCCTATCCCAGAAGTGGCACCCGTTATGACACATACTTTGCCGTCCAGTCTGTCATCAAATCGGCACTTCTTGGGTCCGAATGGTGTCCACCGAAAGAAATTATAAATGCTTTCAAATATAAAGGCAAATAAGAAGCCGATGTCCGCCTTAATAGACATTTCATTGAATGAGTTGTGAAAGAAGTTTGAGTCACTTATAACATCAAAAGATCTTAAGACTGGATTTTTAGGCTTTCCCTCCAAATGAATGCAAGCTTTTGAGACGAGAGCACCCGTTCCACCAATAAATGATTGTATTATTATTTTTTGAGACACTTTTGCCATAAATTATAGGTTATTTGGACTGGAATTGAGAGCCAACAGTGTATTGGGTACTCAATAACACACATATGAATGGATAGCATGTATTAAGACTTCCTAAATATTTTTTGCGATACAAAAAAGTTTGTTGAGTTAACGCTTAACGTATGCAATCATTTTCAGATCCAGTTTTCAAATTCATAATTAAGTTTGAAATTAAAAAATAATAATATTTTCAAATCAATTGATTGGAAAATGTATTTATAAAACGTGCAAAAGAGAAACAAAATAATGATTTGATTTTTAAATGAGAAGCCGATTATCGGTTGAAAATTTGTTTAAAGTTTTTAGAAAATTATATTTATTTTGGAAACTTTTTTTTGATTGATTGCTATCATAATCAGCGGTTTATCTTTTCTGTGAATTAGTGAACCGTTTTATAATTTATTATTTTTAAAACATTTTGTATGTATTTTATAATTTAGTGTCCGAATATATATTATAATAACTAATCTGTTGAATGACAACTAAATAATGATTAATTAGTTGATAAAATATATAATACTTTGAAATTATTTAAGAGTAAATTTCTTATAAAATTTNGTATTTTATAATTTAGTGTCCGAATATATATTATAATAACTAATCTGTTGAATGACAACTAAATAATGATTAATTAGTTGATAAAATATATAATACTTTGAAATTATTTAAGAGTAAATTTCTTATAAAATTTTCGTTTATTAGAAAATATTTTTTTAATTCATTTGTTCATTTATTAATATAATTCAGATTTTTGAAATTAATATTTTAAATCTAACATTTTATTTAAATAGAATGAATTGTTACAGTTTAATAGTTTTGAGTTTAATAGACATGTAATTCAACCTCATATATTATTATGATTTGCAATCAAATGCAAAATCTATGTGGTTTCAAATCTATAATATGATAATATAATAATATGGGAAATATGTATACATGGATCTTGGCAATTCTCATAATCAATTATTATTAAAATACAATTAGATTAAATCAAAAATTTTTACTATTATGTTGAATCTTAATGTATCCTTTATAAATGTTACTAAACAAAAAACGTCTAAAGAATTTTGTAATAAATATATTTTATAATTTTGAGAAATGAATATACTTAAATAATATTAATAAAATATATTCAAAATAACTAGAAAAATATGCTGAATTCAAAAGAAAATTCTTATTATTTCTATAATAAATAAAAATATATTTTTGTTAAAATATTTAGAAATATTTTGAGTTCATTTGGCATTATGTGAAAAATATACAAAAACTAATTATTTAAACAAACACAAAAGATGTTGAGTTCGTAAGACCTTTTACCTAGATATAAATTGCCATTATGACATCTTATTATTCATAATTACAATATCTAAATACTCTTATAGTCATTAATTTATTTATCTAAATGTCTTCATAAATGCTTTGAGGGCTTAATTCTTATGGAAATATTTTTAAAGTTTTTATTTTATAAAACAAATTAAATGTTTAAAATAACAATAAATTAAATCCCTAATAATAAAACTTCTATTAAGTATAATTCAAATACAATATTATAATCGATTGGCAAATAGTGTGATAAAAATCACATAAACAAAAACATAAGAAAATAAATAAAGATTATATAAATTTGTAGAATAAATTTAATAACAAAAATATAAATTAATTTATTTGTAATCAATTGAGGTGTCAGCGTTTTAATGAATTTAAATAAAATAAGTATACTCCCTTATATTTAATGTTGTATTGAATAATTTAATTAAAAAACGTCTCATATTATTAATAATGATAATCAACTAGAAAGATAATACAGAATAAGAATTTTTGATATAATATATGATTGTACTATTAACATGTAAATAACATTAATATAAATTTACATCCGATTTTAACAAATAGAGAGCACTTGAGTTGTAAAGTAATTGTTTCACTTTTATTATGAAAATATGAGAAATATTTGTCTCATATAATAATAGCAATAAATATCTTTATCTCAATTAGAGACACAAATTAGTCGCGGAATCAATGCTATCGCAACATATTTCTTGTATTATTCACTAATATTAACGCCACTTATACTGACTTTGGAGATAAGATAAGCAAAACATTTGAAAATTACTGTATTTCAGATATTTAGCACTTTATTCTGACAAACCATAACAAAACTATGTTATTATTAGCAATAAGTTTAGTATTGACTTTAATTTTTGAAATTAACGGTCAGTACGGAGAGCCGTTTATTGGAGCGGTCGGACAGTTCTCATACGAGTGCCGACAATCAGATATCGATGTCATGTCTTCGCCCAATAGCAAGGAGTTTGAGATATTGTCGGGAAAGTCGTTCGCATATATCTGTGACTTCTTTGTGGACACTCGTCAGTGCGCTCACAATCCGCAGAGTTCTGGATGCGATGGCATTGAAATTGTTTGGATTCTTCCCGAGGGGTTGACTCAGATTGAGAAAGACAAAGGTTATTAATTTTAAAATTGACAAAGGTTAATTTTAATCAAATAAGCATGTTGTTTGAAATTGTAGGTATTGCTAGTACTAGGATGGGGCAAAATACATCAATGACTGTGCATGATGGTTATAATATATACAAGAATGAGTTCGATATAACAAATGCCGGACTAATACACAACGGACAGTATAGTTGGAAATTTAATTTAAAATTTGAGATGAAAAATGTGTTTCAGGGCTCGTTTCATATTGCAGTTATAGGTAAGATTTATAAATTATTTTTGAAATCTTAATGAATGAAAATAATTGTATGCAAATAAACATTAAGTAACAATAGCATAGGGTTCACATAAAATACTGTATTATATTTTAGTAAATAAAGTTTGAAAATATGTTAGAATTCAATGGGAAAATCTATTAACCTGTATTTGAAACAGGTAAAAAGAAAAATATTTTTCTCAAATGAATGATAAAAATAAATTATTTGACTATTCTTTTTACATCAGTTAAAGAATTTTTGAATAAATCTAATATTAATTTATTTAAATAATTTTTCACTGTAAAATTGAAAATTTGTGAATTTTATTTCCGTTTAACATATAAATAATGGGAACATTTTAGCATTTAATGGGTTTTCATATTTTTTACATTAAATAAAAAAATATAAATAAAAATTTTAATATCAATTTAATAACATTTTTCATTTAATGTAACTTAATTGATCTGTCTGAATATAGATTTATTGCAACTAAATGAGCCATGCACTTATGATGATTCGTGTAAAAGCAATAAATGTCGAAATAATAAGTGTGTGGATAAAGATCCTGAACCCTTTCCCTGGCTTATTGTCGGCATATGTATAGCTGTTGCAGTGGTGGTCATCGCTATTATTGTCGTTTGGATTGTAATTTGTATGAAACGAAAACAAACACTAAAACTCAANTGGATAAAGATCCTGAACCCTTTCCCTGGCTTATTGTCGGCATATGTATAGCTGTTGCAGTGGTGGTCATCGCTATTATTGTCGTTTGGATTGTAATTTGTATGAAACGAAAACAAACACTAAAACTCAACGATAGACCAGACGATCCAGATGATATAACTGAATAATTTAAATAATTTTCATCATATTTTTTTATCAATTCATTATAATTTTATCTATTTTTCATTTCCATATCACGAATAGTGTTACTATGATCATTATTTTTATAAACATTTAGATAAAATAATTAGGTATTTTATAAATCAATTAACATGCAATTTAAAATCAATAATATATTAATTAAACCAAATTTTAAAATTACAACTTCAATATTAAATCAATTAATGTACAATCAATTAAATTTTATCACGTTTCTATGAAAATATAATTTGGTTAAAGTATTGCTATTAAAGTGAATGCATTACTTAATTATAACAATTTTCTCTTATTTATTGTTTATTGTAAGCAAAAGGGAGAAAATTTCCTAAAAATAAAAATTGACTCAAATTTAGAAATAAAGTGAAAATTGTTTATAAATTGAANTTAAAGTGAATGCATTACTTAATTATAACAATTTTCTCTTATTTATTGTTTATTGTAAGCAAAAGGGAGAAAATTTCCTAAAAATAAAAATTGACTCAAATTTAGAAATAAAGTGAAAATTGTTTATAAATTGAATGTAATATAAAATTTCTAAATATAGAGCTAAAAGTCATTCAACTTTCGCCAAAACGATTGCAATCTTCACTCTCTCTTCTAATTATAGTCGATATTAAAGCCTTAGAAAACAGTTATCATAAGAAAACACACATTTCATCGCTAAGTTAAAGTGAAATTAAATAAATAGAGACTTATTATTAGAAAATCTTATTTTAAGAAAAATCTATTTTTGTAGGTCAGTGTCGGTTCGCATAAATTCATTTAAAATTGATTAAAAATAATGGCTCCCAACTGATCCCAATCCACACTTTCGCTTATTTAAACCCAATTCACATTAAGTGGCGGAACAAGTGTTACATTTAATTGTTTTGAATTTAGTTGACTTTTTATCAAGTATTTAAAGAATCTGATTTTGTATTAAAATTTATTTCAAATATGTTTCTATTATTTCCTATGCATAATTTTAAGACTATAATTATTTATTACTTCAAATCAATTGCACCTCATTATGAAAGTAATGAATTGGAAAGCATTAGACAGTATTTAACTTGAAATTACTTTTTAAGGTTTAGTGTTTTCAGCAAAAGTGAAATGAGGAACGGCCTAAAGCTCCGCCACTTTCTAATATTTGTCGGATATTTTAAGTAGAGTTTCGTTTTTAGCTCTCATACCAGAAATGCGAGTTTTATAAAAAGCAAAAGGATTTCAAGAATAGTGTTTTATTTTGGTCTGAATTTCAAATTTAGTTTTGTTTCACTTCATAACAGTTTTGAAGTTGTTTTGAGAAAAATTTATTTGAGAATCAGACGTTAAACACGAGTGAAATTATTTGTGCGGAATCGGGAAAAAATGTTTTACAAACTGTTGTTACTTTCAATAATAGGTTTTGTGACCGCAATGCCCACCAAAGACAAGTGCGATCTCAAGAAAGTGGATCGTTGTGCACAAGTGCTGTACATTTACGGCAATCCCGACTATAGGGTGTCCCGGAATATCGATGAGGCCCACAGATTCTGCAAGTAAGTCACACATCCATCCCTATCCCTCTGTCCATCATAGCTTGCATAATACAAATACATGATTTTCTTAATTCCTCCATATTTAAGGAATCATTGAACGATTCTTTACTTTTAATTCCTGACTGATTGCACCTCTTTTTAAGCTGTTGTGTGGGTCCGGCCAGCAATAAATTGATGTATTGACGTGTTACATACTGTATATTCTGAATGTAAATATAAATTACTTTTGAACAACAAAACCGATTAATATAATTGTATTTTTACACTTTTTATTACGTTATTCTTTCTTACACTAACTCTCTCTCTCTCTCTCTCTCTCTCTCTCTCTATTGATGCATAAGTTTATAACCACTTCTTAACTCTAAAGCTCGACCAAAGAGGCGGAGATATGTATCAGGACTTATAGCAGTGCATGTGTTAAACCATTTTCACGTCAATACATCAATTTATTGCTGGCCGGACCCACACAACAGCTTAAAAAGAGGTGCAATCAGTCAGGAATTAAAAGTAAAGAATCGTTCAATGATTCCTAAAATATGGAGGAATTTCGAAAATCTGATGATTTGTTTCAATGATTTAGAATATCTGGAGCACAAGGTCTGTGTGAATGCCACCAAACCATCCATTGATATCTGTAATAACGAGGCGATTACCAACACAATGAGGATATTGAAGGCACGCAAAGAAGACTGGATTCAACTGAGCTGTTGGTGAGTATAATAGCAGGCATTTTGAGTTTGTATTGAATTTGGGTTTTCGATGAAAAGTTTGTAATCAAATGAATGATTAGTTTTCTGAGTAAAAGCACTCAGTGCTCGACCAAAGCCATAGACAGTGAGTCCCTCTGCGACGACAAGTCCAAGGAATACATGAAAGAAGCGATTCGTGGCTTTTCTGGAGAAGTGTTTGATCTGTTTTGCGGTAATGATCTGCACTGGGAGTCCAATAACTGCCAAAAAGTGACCAAAAACTTACCGCCAATTGAAAGTAAAACTAAAGTGCCTTTAAGTGTTTTCCCCGTTGTGTTGGAAATGATGGAAAGGTTTTAATCATTTATTTTGTATATTTTGTAAATTTAAGTCCCGTTTCATTATTATATCTATTCATATATTTTTCTGTAAATATTTATAAGCATTTTTAGACAACTTTTGTTAACACATTTCAAATTAGTTTTCAATAAATAATTTCTAACTTTTGATTACATAATTCCAATGAAATGTAAACTTTCAAAGAGATATGAAATAATAGTACAAATTGCAAGCAATTGATCCAAATTTAGTGTTTTCAGCAATTCTTGAGATCTGATACAGTATTATGTGATGTGTTTTAGTCGACTTCAAGAACAATAACCTTTTGGTGAAAGAAATGCATAAAAATAATACCTGTTTTCAAATACAGACACAAACTAAACTGGATTTCATTCAATGAGTCAAATGTTTGACATAAATATTATTCCGATATACTGTATAATAATATAAGTAATACAGGTTATTTAGGTAAGGACCCACAAGTTAGTCAACGAGTGCACCTGTATTTCACTATTTATGAATCCCTACTACTAATTTATGAATTAACTTATAAGTTAACACATTAACACAAAATCAAATAATTCAGTTATAATTATGAAGTATTGATAAAACTTAAAATTGATAGCATTGACAGTCACTGATTAATCTGATTGGTACACAATTACTGCACCAGTACTAGTAATAGTTTTTAATTGAAATAAAAGCTCAATCTCAAATCATTAATCATCTTTATAATTTTTAAGAAAAATTATTGAAACGTCTAAATTTATTAATTCAATATTTGATTGTGTGTTAACATAAATGCAAAAACTATAAGAATATTCTTAAAATAAACCTATAATGAGTTGAAATAAAGGCAAGAATTTGACATTTATTTGCAATACTATTCATAAGTATTTGTTTGAGCGTTGAATTGTTTTTGTGATTTAGGCTTCAGATTATTAAGTTTGTCTTTCCCGTCTTTGAATTGTTTTTCAATTTCTCTTTTATACAAATCCGGGTAATCCTTCTCATAGAAGTCAGGGACTGCCACCTGTACGGTATCGACTGTCATGTGAAGCATCTTAACGGACGCCTGGCCTTTGATTTTGATCTCATATTTGATGAGTTGCTCCCAAAAGCCGACGTTAGGCCGAGCAGTCTCTCTGCGCTTCTTAACCGAAATGAAGGCATTCTTGAGATTGATTTTCTCGTATTTCATGAGATATGCTTGATTTTGATCTCATATTTGATGAGTTGCTCCCAAAAGCCGACGTTAGGCCGAGCAGTCTCTCTGCGCTTCTTAACCGAAATGAAGGCATTCTTGAGATTGATTTTCTCGTATTTCATGAGATATGCCAACACAAGAGTTGTTGAACGACTCGCACCCGCCATACAGTGCACTAAAGTCTTGTTTCCGTTTTGGGCGTTCTCTTCAATCTTATCGCAGACCTCATCGAAGTATACGGAGATGTCGTCATTCTCTCCGTCGTCCACCTGTTCCCCAATCAGACAACACATTAGTTTAAGAGCTTTTTAAGTAAATCTATTAAATAAGTGTCAAATCAATACTTACGGGAACTCTATAACAAGTGATGCCTTCGACTTCAATGTTAGGCCATTCATATGTGGCGTTAATTATTAAAGTGATCCCAAGTTTCTCGAGATTCTCTTTAGTGAGTGAAGCGATTCCCGACAAATACACAAATTTAGTCAATTTGTTGCACGCACTCAGAGGCAGATTGAAGACTGTTTGGAAGTCCTGACCACAGGAGGGGTCGCGGGCTATCTTATCGGCCTCTTTCTGAAGCATAAGTTTGCGGACGGGTTTAGAGTTTATGATATGACCACTTTTGGTCACTTTCATAGATTGAGCCGCCAATAGATTACCATTCTTTAGGGGCTTTAGAGTGCTTTGCGTTTGCGATGAACAACAACCCATTCCTCACCTCAATGTCTGTGGGATTTAGAGATCAAATCAAATTGTTTTCTAAAACCAGTAAATTTTTTAAATATTTGTCTGAAATTTAATTCAAATTTATCACGATTTACAACAAATAAACTAAATTCCGGGTTTTAAAAACTTTTATTATTATAATTTTTATATAACGGTATTTTTAAGTTAAGAGTTTTAAGTCAACGCTTTATCCCGTCTTTCCTTTTGTTATTCATTTGAATGGCATTCTTGACCACAATTCTGGTCTCGAGAATCTATACACAAATAAATGTCAATTAAATTAAAACATAAATAAAAATTCAATAAAATTAACGAAAAAGACTTACTGTTGAGAAAGCATTTGAAGAGATGAAGAGACGGACCAAATGTAGTGATTATGAGATGAAGTGTTTGTGTTTTGTGTGTTTATTGTGCGTCTATTTTTGCATTTATTAGGGGGGGTTCGGTAGGCAGAGGGCCCACTGAACCCCGGGAGGACAGGGAAAGGAAGGATTTGAAGATAGTATTAGTATTAGTCTTCATCTAAATCTAACACCGATTTACAGGTCAACCCCGACTTACCCGACACTACAAACCATTTAAACCTTACAAACAATACAACCATTTCTGGAGTTCCTTCCAAAGTAGGTGTCCATTGGATTCCAGCGCACATTGAAGTGGTGGTGAAGAACTGGAAACAAGTGATGAGTGCATCCAAACCATACAACCATTGATGATATGCCCGGTTGGGCCCAACGCCTGGAAGTGGTGGTGAAGAACTCCAATGGGAGACAATCATCACAACGAATAACTCATTCATAGAGCCGTCGATCAGTTTCTGTTGCAGTCTTGGACTCCATTCGCGAAACACTTGGAAGTGAGACACGAATTGTCGGACATTTGTCTCCAAACTGAGTCTCCATAGCATTGGACTCCTTATTGTTATAGCAATCAATCAACTCTTCATTTCGGCCACAAATGGATGTTATATTCAAAAGACGGCTTCACTTCCATCCGGAAAGCCTTCAACTCTTCGGACCCATAGACCACCGCTTCCATCGAGTCATCGGAATCGGTGTCATTGCGACCATTCCTGTGGTGGCCGTCAATCTGAACGCAGAGCTCAGCCCGAATACCGACGGCCAGACAGCGCTTATAGCGACAACTCGTGCAGCACTTGCGAAGGAAACTGTCGTTACTGATGGGACAGTTGTCTTCATGGGGTCCCTGTCCACAGGGCTGAGCCATTGTCATCGCCAGCAGTGGTCAACATAAAGCAAAAAAGGGGAAAAAGGGAACAAATATACCCAACAGTAGGAGTGGTAGTAGTGATGGGAGTAGTGATGATGCGATGCCAGACCGGTCTGGGATGGTGTCCAACGATGACAACTATACACTAAATATGGGCTTAAATTAGGCATTAAATCAAATCAAATCAAAATCAAAATCAAAATCAAATATAAACTAAAACCCCCGGCTGACCTGTATATCGATAATTATTTAATTAAATTAGAGAGAGAGAGACGACTTGTGTGAGACAAGAGCTGCACACAAGTGACCAAAATTAGGATTCCTTACAAACCAATAAAACTATAAAATACTAACTTTTAGTTTAAATCTTATCATTAAAAGTGAATAAAACTTAGATTTCAATGGAAAATACCATCAAATGTGAGGTGTTTTCTCGAAATCTAACGGTGAGTATAAACTTTGTAATAATCCCTAAACTGAGCTTTGATTTCTAGATTTTGAACTTAAAATTGTCAGTATTTCTCAACTGCTTATTACATGTCATGTTAATCCACACAACTTTTGCTTTAATTGCAATTATTAATCATTAAATATAAATATAATTTTAGTTTTCTATTTGATTTATGAATTGAATGATAGGGTTAACAAGGACAAATGTCGTGAATACGATAAAAACTAATTTTAACTTAAAATCTATAAATGAATTATGTGATAAATTCAGTCTAATCCATATAATGTTTAATTCTGTGTTAAAATAAAAACATTTAAAAATAGAAATGAAAAGCTACATTTTTACGTAAAATTAACTATTGTATAAATATTTGCTTAACAATAAATATGAATAGACATTACAATAGTGTTGTGTTATTATCATTTTAAATAACTTGTTAAGTTATTAAATTGTAATCACTACAGAATACATGTATAAGTTTAGACTTAATTGATAAAAATTTTCGTTTCGGATATGAATAAAAAATAATTTCGTATCGAAAAGAGTTCGTATAATTAGATCCAAAGTGTGGTTCGTATCGAAATCAATGGTCGGGTTTAGTGTACGGGAAGTAATAAATGAGTTGCGATTGATTGAAGTGCCACCGACTCGACCACAACTCAATTATCTCTAAATAAAACTTCTGACAATTGATGTGATGAGAGGACTGACTGAACGAGAGAAACGTATCTCGAATTGTGTTCATCAATGTCTTCATTCTCGACGGATTGTCTTCTTCGAGAAATTTTCCTAAATTTCAATTCAAAACTTTAGAAAACTTTAGAAAACTTTTGAAAACTTTTGAAAACTTTTGAAACTTTTATTCGACATTTAATTCAAGTAATTCACTGAAACACTGACCGCAAGACCTCAAACTGGTCTGAAGACATTCAATCTCAGTGGGCGTTGAATTGGGGTTTAAGAGGATGGCGTGAAAGGAGTCGTACAGCAGAAGAGAGAACTGTTTTTCTTGTTTCGTCGCCAAAGAAGGCATGGTTTGTGTGTTGTCTTTGGATCTATTCGTATGAAAATCGTATTCGTCTTTAAAATCGTCGTGAAATGATTGTCTCGTATTTTGTGGCTCTGTTCCGGTCTTGAGATGCACGTAGAGGTCGCATATGAAGGTGACGTAAGCCGTCCACCGACGCGCCCCTCCAGATGTGAGCCTAAGTTTGTCCCTTTCGTTAAACCATTCGCGCAGACAATTAATCAGGGATTCAATGAACAAATGACTGCCAGTTTGCCACTGTTTCTCATCAATTGTCAAACAAATTATAGCCAATGATTGCGAGTAAGAGCACCCCTCCAGAGCTTTATTGCAGATAATCCTCACGATTTGCATCAATTGGTTGGCTGTCATTGAGTTGGTCTTCTCAATCGCGCGACGGATTAAAGTCATGTTTTCCCACGAAATGCCCTCAATTGACATCAAATGGCCGATTGATTCACAGCTACTGTTTGTCTCTTTAGTGCCAAAGGATTTTGATTTCTTGAGGACACCTTTTAATGGCTCGCAAACTGTAATACAGATTGGATTAAAATGTGATGAAATTTGATTGGCGTGTAATTATGGCAAACCAATTGATTTATTAGTAAAACTGATTGCTTGTGTCATTTGGTTGGACTCGTTGTCGTGAGACGTCGATGTGGTTGAAGAGGAATGAGATTCTGGAGATTCTGTGCGATTGAATGCTATTCTTGCGGACGGAGGACGATATATGGGTTGCGAAGGTTTTACATATTTGTAGACAACCTTTAAATGAATTTAATTTGTATTAATATTTGCAAATTTAAAATATGATCAAATAATTCTCAGACCTCTTGTGGTTTTTGTCTTAACGGCTGAGTTAAAGACATTCTTACGGATGACATCCTCTGCCGTCTGTTAAACAAAGATCACATCTTCTAATAAATTATATTTTAACAAACAATTGGTTACTAAATATTTAATTTAAGATTGATATGTGATGTTTCGGTTGAACATTTTAAAATAAATAGTTTAAAACAAACATTACTAACACTACCACTCCCTATAAGAATCTTAAAATAGAAACCGATTCCGCATTCATTTTATCAAATCTAATGCTTATGTGCTTTAAATAATTTACTTCTGAGATTTGTTTTTATTTTTATTGCATTTATAGTAATAGAAAATAATCTAATATTAATATAATATAAGTTGGTAATTTGGGTTCAATTTTTAAAATACTTGATTTATTTATTGCAATCCAATAACAGAAAACTTAATTATTAAAAATAGGTATAAATAGTCATTCAAAATCATTTTTAAACTAATGTGTCAAAAGTAAAAGTATTTACAAAAATCCAAACTTATTTGGCATCAATTCAAATGGACAACGATTGAGAGCTCGATTAAAAATAAGCTTAAATTAAATTTAAAAAATAAAGTTAGTGTAAATTTTAAAATACTAATTAGACTTAGAATAAGAGGTATAAATGATTAAGCCTTACATACAAAATGACTTAATTCTGTATAAAGAATACCATAGAATAAATGTAACATAAAATAGTCTACACTCACAAGAATATCACTAATTGCTTATGTTAAGTACAAAAATGAAAATAAATTAATATAATTTATTAAATCAAATCGAGTCAAAGGGACAAAATGGAAACAAATGACACAAACATTAAAACAATAAAAGATATTTCACTAGATTTATAACAACTATTCATAACTAGAGTTTGACACTCTTTGACGGATTCAGTGTATTTGTGGACAATTCGTGGATATTGTATGAGATCTTCAATTTCCTCCATCCCATAGACGCCGTCTATTTTCCTCCAAAAGCATTGAGCCTTTTGTGGCGCGAATCGAATCAACTCTTGGGAACCGCTCATCACATTCTGGTCCCAAAAACTCTTGTTCTGCACGTATACAGAAAGTCTGTGATTGGCGTAATTGGTTGGCACCACAATCATTGGATTCATATCGTTGTCATCGATGCTATCAATTAATAAATCAATGTAAGTATTAATTGAGTGTAATTTGATAGCAATGAGCAATACCTGTGCACTTCTGCCACATCTGAGAGAGTCATTACTGTCTGTGGAGTCAAACCACTCAAACAATTTCGGGTTAATTTCATTCGCGGGTAATATATGATAAAAACTAAACACATCTCCTCTTTGGTCGATAGCCCGCCCTTTAAAGCAAGAAATTTATAATTAAAATACTGCTCATTGAATAAAAGCAGTGAACAATACATACAAACAGTGGTGTGTCTCGGTTGCGGGTATTGTAAGTGCACTCAACGACGATGTGGTCGTCCTGTAGTATACGGCACTGATCCGGAGATCTTTGAAAATCTTGAAAATTAAAGTCATAATTGTTTTCTTCGGCGATTGGCTCCAATTCGGTTCCATTACGGAAATGGCGGACAAGTATTTTTCGGACTAAAAATTGTAAATTAATTAAAAGTCTGTCATTTGAAACAAAGATTAGAGAAATTTAGCTTGATACCATGTTTGTGTCCGTGCGGTAAACTAGCGATCACATGGAGACCAGAGGGCGGTATCTTATTTCTAAAACAACTGGGATGGCAGTGACCGGCAATTGTAACCGATTCCTGTTGGGGCGGAATGAAGAGCCGGTAGTCGGCGACTGAGCCCATGGTTGCGGTGTCGGCGTCGTATTGACGCACTTTCCGAGTATACAGTAATCGCAGACCCGATGAGTCGTATAATCCACCCATGAGTTCAGGATTGTCGTAATGGATCTCAAATAAGAAATACGTTGTCTCCTCGTCCTCTGCAATAGGCATTCCCACGTTTTCCGGCAAATTGAACGCATCGCCACCCGTCGCCCACACCTGTCCACACATTGATCGTTAAACACTTAAATAAAATCACTTCTAGAAAATAAACTCAAGTTTTCAGACCATATAAACTGATTGGCAATGTATGAAATCGTAGGGCATGTTAGCGAAGTCCACACAATTGGCGCCGTTGTGTGAGGCGTACTGATCCATGTATGACGAGTTGGGGTGAAGACACCGGTAGAGAACCATGTGGTGAACAAATGGTGCGTTAGTTGCCGGAGATATGATGGGCTCGATCTTCAATTCATAGACAACTCAATGAAAACAAAAGTCAACTTGCTTAAAACATTATGTTTAAAACAAACCCTGATCACATGTATTTTCGAAGTGAACGGTGCGATCACAATTTTGCACCAGTAGGTCGTGTCGGTGTTGTTAGGTATCAACAGATTACTTGAGGTGATGTCCCACTTCTCGATTGTCTCATTATTTTTATTGTCGAAGTCATGTCCGGGAATACTCAGCAAATGAACGTTTCTGTGGCCTCTGTTGAGGGCCTTGTGTTGAGGCATAGCCACTGGTGAGGAGGGTTTGTGGTGACTGTACGCCCAAATCAGTTTAGTTATGTCTGAAGTGATAGAGAGATCTGTTTCCGTGTCACAGGTGATGAAGACTCGAGTGAATGTGAGCCATATATGAGAGCCGTTGTGTCCCGACTCCAGTAAATGCCAGTCTTGGGAGTCGTCTATTGTCGGCAACTCTTCCTCTTCGGCGTAACGATCCTAACCATACATACAATCAATTACTCAACAATTTGTGTCTAATCCATGTAACCATTAAATGAGTTCAACTCTTTTGAAACAAGTTTTTTGTGGTCAAACTTTGTAACATCTGATATATGGACCTTGAACATATACATACGTGGAAGTGTGTGACACCGTTGTCATCGACCCAACCGATAACCAGATCACTGCCAGCCATTCCACCATTTGGTGAGATACCAAAGCCCACCCAACCCGTCGTCTCGACCACCACATTGAAAGTGATCCGTTGTTTGTGGTCATCGAAGTACCACTTGAGGTGATACTTATTGTGCGGATCTAATGTTATTGAATGCATCCATTGGGAGACACATAATGTCCATACATTTGCACTCAATATGAATAGCAATCTCAAGACAAACGATTGCATTGCAAACAAACTTTGAACACAAATTAATCTCTGTATTAAACCAAAAAACTAAAAACTTTTTTAACACAAACTTTTGATTAGAACTTTTAACTTGTTACTTTTAATTTTTGGGAATCTTGAAGTTTCACTAGACTTTCAATTTCTATGCAAAAAACAGATCTACAAAAATAAGTTGTGATAATCCTTTTTATTACTACCACTATAAATGCAAATAAAAATTTAATTTATTTAATGGTTTAAACTTTTAATTGAATTTCCATTTATAGTAACATTCATTTGAATTTTATTGTTGTTATTATTATTTATACATTTAGATGCGATAGTGAAGTGTTGTATTATGTTTAGGCAAATACTAGACACCACTCTCTTCTCGACTATAAGGCAATGTCGAGTGAAACGCCTTTCCCAACCACTTATGGCCTGAGGGCTAGTAGTCTATGGCAAGTCGACGAACCCCCTAATAATCC